CTTTGGCCAGAGCTCATCCTTCTCTCCTGTCCCCTCATGACTTGAATGATGTCATGGCTGGTGTGGGTCCATGGTCTTTGTTTAGTCGAACCCCATGGTCCTGAGGGCCAGCATTTAGGCTCACAGGAGCCTATGTCCAGATGCAGACCAGGGGCCAGTGCAGAGCCTAAAGGTGCTGCAGCCTGCTTGGGAGGTCTCCCTTTGAGGACCCCGAAGGACTTCAGCAGGCATCTTGTCAAGTATCAACACGACCTTATGATAATACTAGGACATTATTTAACTGGTCATTCCCATTCTGTCATAAGTGCACAGTGGAGTTCTGCAGCTCTCTGAGATAGTTCACCATGACAGTTGTCTTCTTTTGGGAGGAGCTGCATAACCAGTGAACCAGGATTGTCCAAACGACCAGCGTATTGTGTTGCTGAGTCATGCGTGGTCAAAGACTCAGTCAAAGGACATGATGCACTAATATATTTTAGTATAGAAGAGTTCATTGGGAACTGAGGACATAGCTCAGCGGTGCAGCATCTACCTGGCAAACATGAGGCCATGGGTTTGATTCCTGGTACCCTCTCTCCCTAGAAGGGTTCACTGGTGATGCTCAGACTCTCCACTGTCCAGGCCTAGAAGGAACTCCCCTGTGGGAAGCGCAGGGCTAATGCACAAGCAGAGGATCCATAATTAGCTGCAAGTTGCAGGCCAGATTTTCCTCCTATACGTCAACCCCTCAACGTAGCACAGCAGATTGAACTAAGAGACTCGTGTGAGCATTGAATCATGTGCTATTAAGCCAGACATTAAAGAGATTGGCAAAAATGCCAACCATTATCGCTTAATGTTTTTGTTCTGAAAAATAGGATTATTATTTCATAAAGATGTGCTGCTTCATGTAGTCTGCAAAGGATATGGTATATGTACTAAATGAATTCCTAAGGGCCAGCAGTGCAGCTCCGTGGAAGAGCCTATGCTTCGCATATGTGAGACCCTGGATTTTTCAGCAGCCTCCCAAAAAGTAATTCATAAACTAAAAAAATTCCCAATTTTAATTTCTAATATAATAAATATTGTTAAATATAATCTACCTTATTAAAAGCCGTTTGGGAGACACAGTGAATTTTAGGATTCAATAAATATGGAGAGGTATTGAAGCCACAGGATTTAAAGACTGGTGTGTGTGGGGGGTCTTACTAAGGGTCAACCAGGACTCATTGCCTGTTTATTTCTTGTGTGTCCTGTGTTCAGATATATTTTGGACCAAGATGCATACTTTTTCCCCAAATATAAGTATATCAAAATGTCCGTGTTTCCTTCAAATTAATTATAATCGCCTTACTCTTATTTTAGCAGAACATCATGTTCTACAGTGGAATATAACATTCCACTGAACCTGCTGGTGATTAAATATGCACTTGCTTCTTGTTATTTAAAAAAAAAAATAAAATCAGGATTTATGTGGTACTTTCCTTGAAATTCATATTTTATTTCAAGGAAACCTGTGAAAGTTCACCAGCTAATTGAATTTACTTTCTTAAACACACACGCACATAAACACACACACACACACACACACACACACACACACACACAGAAACACAAACTCATCCTCCCTGGTATTATACTGTTTTGCTTATATTCTTCGAATCTGTTTCTACTTATGTTTCCAAACTCATATG